ATGCTTCTCTCTTTTTGACAGTTAACCCTTGACTTTGAATCAGATCCCACTTCTCTCTGAATTGGGGGAGGGAGATGGGGATCTCTTGAGAAACCAACTTTCAATTACATTATTATTCCCTGTGCTAGAAGACTAACCCTAATATTCATAAAAGCCAGTTACAGGGAAAGCAGAGAGAGAGCTAATACGGTATTTTAAATTACTCTGTATCTATCATCCACAATTCCACATAGACTCAAAGTCATAGATACATAGTTATATCAACAACAAAAGGCTTACTATTAAATTCTTAACTCAGAGATTTATCGAGCATGGCACTTTACGTGCTACAGTTTTGGAGATTTTTGTTTATTACTTGAGAATCCCAGCAACAGCACTAACAGAGAATAGTCCTTAGTCTCCTAGAAATGAACATAACACCTCCTCTTATTTTAAACATGATGCCACCTGTCTCTTCTGGTTCCAATTAAATGAGAAAGTAGAGAAATGGGGTATAGATGGGCTAGAACAAGAGATTACTGGCAAAACGAGTGCATAAACAAAACACTCTTCTCTGGTGATTTATTGTGAAATAACATCTCATGTTCTTGCATTAAGTGAATTACACATCAGTAAATGCGTGTGCCACCTCAGTTCTGAGAACGGTTGTTTTAAGTAACTGAATATTTGCCAAAAGATCAAGTGGACCGGAGCCAAAGGTCAAATACACCAGCCCAATAACCAACTCGCTCTGCTCAAGATGGTGAAGGGGCTTTAATAGCTACAAAGCAGCAACCACGTACGTATGTTGCAAGTTTCAGCTCGATCATGATGACCCTGTCATAATCTCACTTCTGTACCCCAGACCTGTGAGTTATGTGTAGCAACAAGAAGGGTGTAAAATGGGAACCCAGCTTGAATGGCCAACAGCTGAAATGTAAGCCGGAGACCAGAGCGCTCTCAGGTATAAGCCTGAGCCGAGCTTCAGGAAGCAGAAGAGGTGTTGGCTTAAGAATCGGTTGTGGGTGGAGCCACACTGCCAGGGCTGGAATCCTGGCCACCGCTTCTTAGCTGGAAACTTTGAGCAAATTCCATAACCGTTCCGAGCGTCAGACTGGTGGCTGTAAAGATTACATAAGACTATCCATGGGCAGTGTCTCCGTGGCCAGCACCATAAAGAGAACTCAAATGTCTACTGTTCCCCTGGCGAGGACGACACGGGGTGCCATAGGCGCCCACCCACTCCGGGGAGCCAGATGAAAGGTCATTTTCATTCTTTTTTTTTTTTTCAATATATGAAATTTATTGTCAAATTGGTTTCCATACAACACCCAGTGCTCATCCCAAAAGGTGCCCTCCTCAATACCCATCACCCACCCTCCCCTCCCTCCCACCCCCCATCAACCCTCAGTTTGTTCTCAGTTTTTAACAGTCTCTTATGCTTTGGCTCTCTCCCACTCTAACCTCTTTTTTTTTTTTCCTTCCCCTCCCCCATGGGTTTCTGTTAAGTTTCTCAGGATGCACATAAGGGTGAAACCATATTGTATCTGTCTTTCTCTGTATGGCTTATTTCACTTAGCATCACACCCTCCAGTTCCATCCACGTTGCTACAAAGGGCCATATTTCGTTCTTTCTCATTGCCACGTAGTACTCCATTGTGTATATAAACCACAATTTCTTTATCCATTCATCCGTTGATGGATGTTTAGGCTCTTTCCATAATTTAGCTATTGTTGAGAGTGTGAAAGGTCATTTTCAAATGCGTAACTGTGCCAATCGAAGATTTCTACTAAGCTAAGACGCTTGGTACCAACATTTACATTTTACTTGGCACTTAATCCATTTCACGGAAATGCAAAAGTATAAAAGTGGGGCAAACAGGCTGGCAAAAAAAATACCAACCACGGACCATTTGGTTTTAGGCGTTCTGTTGTGTATGTTTTTAATTGCAGCATTTGGGTCTTGTTTGGTTTTGTTCCTAAGCCTCCAACCTAGGGAAATAGTTCTCTTTAAGGTTACAACTAGCACACAAAGGACCTCATCTCCTCCTGGGCACCCACTGGCCACTGCCAGTACCCCCTCTGCTCGTGGTTCAAGTCCTTGAGAGCAGAGGCTTGGAAGGCACCGGCTCTAGAATAAGATCACAATTCCTAGCACCCTCCGCAGTCTGCGTTGAGGAGGGAATGTGCACGCACCCCCCCCCACCCCGATCCTCATAACTCTTCTCGCCAGGGACCAGCCGCCTGGTCCTTAGCTGTTCTGACCTGCCCCCTCTCCCTTTAAACACAGACGTGCTCACCAGGCAGACTCACGGGTCTACCGAGTGTGGTACCTATGACTGTCCAAGGGAATGAGGCAAAGACAGCATTCAGTGGATCAGAAACATCTGCTTTGTACGTAAAGTTATCCTTGAATGGCTTTGGAATAATGTATTCCATGGTATTGAGGAACACATCTTGTAAACAGAAAAGTCTAGGTGGGAAGTGGGAAATCTGGTATAAGTTTGCACGTCACTTGGTTTCAATAAAATAGGGATAAAAATAACAACTACGTCATGGCATAAGATAGTGATAATAATAACCCTTGAGTAAGCTAACCTTGCAGTGCTTACTACGGGCCATGCATCGTCCTAAGCTCTTTACATGTAATAAAGATAACAGCAAAATTCAAAAATATTGGCCATTACCATTACTTCTAAAATTTCTGTTTAGCATTAGACTTTTTCGCAAACAAAATCTTACTCAGAACAGCATATAAACAAGAAAGGCGGGGGCGGGGTGCAGAGCTGCGCTCTGTGTAGCTGGAACGAGGGCACATGGCCGATGGGTCCCCCATTCCACACTGGGCATTCCTGTCACCCCAGGCGAGCGCCTAGGGACCACCACAGGGTCCTGCAGCTCCTGAGGGCCTGGTTGAAAACTTGCAGGCTTTTCTGTGAAGAACCACAACAGTTAATCACCCGGAGGCTGGCCAGAGGCACAAGGAGCCAGGAAAAACTTGGGGCACACATCCCGGCTTCAAACACCAGACTGCCAAAGGTATGCTAAGGATTTTGAGCTTCTCCTACAGTGGGCGGGTCACCCCTGCTTCCTGTTTCCTCCCGGGTCTTCTTGGGGCCTCAGGGCATTGCACCAAATCATCTTGGGCGCCACTTCCCTGTCTAGTATTCCAATTCCGACAGTGTCTTTCCCATAATACGGTGCACAGATGTTCAGTGCATGAGTCTCAATACCCAATGAAAAAGAAACAGTAAAACTGTCTACCAAAAAATGCTTTCCACCCCTACCCGTTCCGTGGGTTTCCTTCGGTTGCTGTCCATTTAGTTTTTATTGTCAAGTGTTACTTGTTAGCATTTGCTATGATTTCAGAAGTGAATCTGGGTCTCTCTCTTACGAAAAGAGGGGTAGGTAAAAATAACTCACTCTCCCATCCTAGCTTTGGCAAGGGACTCGAAAACATTTTCACCTCCAAACATGACTGGTAAAGAAGGGAAACTATGCTCCCAAGTCCTCAGAGGTTATGTGGTTATGTTTTGGAGGGGAAAAAAGTTTTCCATAACCTGATCCTTGAATCACATTCTTGCACTGTGCACAGGAACTACAGTCCCCACAGGCTGGAGCTGAGGAAAGAATTCTGAGTTCCCAGTGCTGGCACACCTTGAACTTGATGCATTGGAAGGAAAAATTCCTGATTGTTAGGTTAAGTCCAGAGCAGGCACCTTTCTGCCTCCCAAACCAGCTTTCTCCTGCTGAGCCCTACCCCCATTTCCAGCTTTGCTTTCTCTCCCAAAGTAAGGCAAAGAGAAAGGGAGGGAAAAAATCACATCATGAAAAGTTCAAATGAATACACCCACAGGAAATATTTGCCTAATTCGATTATCATTCAGGGTGCAGAAAGGTTGAAAGGGAGTTCAATTTCCAAACTTTTGAGGCTGGGAGGTAAGTCAATTACAGAATTCTAGACTGGGAGGGGCCTTATGGATCAGCTACCCCAACATGAGGAGGTAGAAGTCCAGAGTGGCTGTGGCTTCCAGGCACACAGTCCTGGGCAGAATGAGGTCTAGAACTCATGTCCAGACTCCCAGAACAGCACTGTTTCCACCACACCCAACAGCTTGCTGTGTGAATCAAAAGCTCCTGCTGGGACCAAGAACCCCAGTCAATAACCAGAACTGGCACCCGCCAACTTCCCATAAACGCTGCTGTATCTGCAGCCCAAACTCGGCGCTTGTGAATCGGCACGCTCCCCCAAATCGCCGGCAGGTTCACACCCACCCCTGCGGGGGCCACCAGACAAACACGGAACGGGAACGTGCTCCTAACTGAGAAGCAGCCACGTTCATCCTCCTCGGAGCGGGGCCTGGAGGGCACAGCTGAAGCGGGGGAAGGAAAACACCCTTCTTCACTCCCACCCCAGCTACCAACGCAGAGAGCAGAGACGCCCAGCCACAGGGACTGCGCCCCCACCTCCGCGACCAGACTTGCGCGCGCGACCTGGGCCATTCTGTGCTGCTGCTCCTGTCCTTGGTGACATTTTTGTTCAACAGCCAGCTTTTCTCTGCTGTTCAGCAAGTCTCGACTGCTGCGAAGGTGTGGGCCACATCCTCCGCCACCAAAGCGCGAAACGCGTCAACTTCCCCCGCCACCCCGACAACAACCAAGTTCTCAGAGGGGACACCTAGAAGGGGACGCTGCCCCTCCTCGGCGGCAGAGCCCGACCCCGGCCGCTGCCTGAACCCCCACCCCGTTCCGGCCCACCAGAAGGGCTCCCTCCTCCCAGGAACCTGCCCTCCCTGCCTCGGCAGGTCGCTCGCGGCCTCGACCCAAACAGATCTGCCTCCCGAGGGCGCGTTCCCATTCAGACGCGACGCGACCCCCGTCCCCGACGGCAGCCCCAACGCTGCCGGGGGTGTTTTGAGGCTGCAGCCCCCTGCCCTGGGGCGGCGCCCCGGACCTTCCAACCCTCAGCGCGCAGGGGGACTGCCCGCGGGCCCCCTCCCCGCCCCCGGCCCGGCGCCCACCTGCCGTTGGGGCGCGAGGACCCTCCCGCTCCCGCGCCCGCACCCGCACCCGCGGGGGGCTTCTCGGCGCCGCCATGCCGGCCGCGCGCTGCGGACGGGCGCGGAGCCTCCTCCGTCGGTCAGTCAGACGCCGCGGCCGCCCGCCGGCGCCGGGGATCGCTTCCCCGCGGCTGGCTGGCTCGAGAGGCGCGGGGCGGGGACCGCGGTCGGCGCTCCCGCCCGGGGGAGCCCGGGGGCCGACGGACGCGCGGGGCCGCCAATGGGAGGCCGCGGCGGAGGTGGGCGGGCTCTCGGGCGGAGATGGGCGGGGCCTCCGCGCACAGACGGGGTCCACCGTCGGCAGCTTCGGGCTCCCGGCGCTGTGCGCGCAGCGTGGAAGCCGCTCCTGGGTTCCCGGCGCTGCTCCTCCGGAGACGTCCTGGGGTTTCCACCTGGACGGATCCCGCGACCTCCCTGGCACTTTACATCGAAAGCCCATTGAGTGGGAATCAAAGAAACGTGGTGCGTGGGATGATGGGGGAGAGGGACAGGTGCCTTTTCCCTCTCCACGGCGAAGGTGCAGAAGGATTGCCATCCCTGGCCGAGACAAGAACCCGCTGATGGGTCACGGCCATGGGAGGGCCAGACTGGAATCCAGATGTTGCTGTCGGCCCAGGGCCTCTTCCACTACTTAGGGCACATTTTTAAAAAAATCTTTATTTTCCCCTAGGTCAGCAGAACGGTTATGCTTACTCAGAAGTCACAGTGTACCTTAGTAGCCGGAATATGTGCGTTAATGACAAGATTAATCTTCTGATAAAGTGGGTTATCAAAAAGAAAAAAAATAAACAGCTCAACAATAAAAAGGCGCTCACAACAAGGTTCTTTTGCCCCTGGTTTTCTATTCAGAGGGACCCTTTCTCGGAAGAAAAGGGAAGAAAATGGAAGTCCTGATGCACACTTCCTTTTTCTCCAATATACACAATTCCAGACAGAAACAGGTTGGCGTGTGGCATGTTTTGGCACCTTTTGAAACAAACTCCGTAACTAAAGAAAGACGTGAAAAACACTGGAATCTTCGGTGGCTCCAGTATACTTAGGTCAATGTCAAGGAATTGAATCACTTTCCCCTTTTCTGAATCTCAGGGCAAAGGATCACAGGTCTTTGGGAATTCTGGCAAAATTCTAAGAGCAACAGGAGTTAATATAATGCGAGGCATTTACTGACAGCTGACATCAGGCCAGGCACTTGGATAATCCTTTTATGTATTATTTTACATATTATTTCACTTAATCCTCACACTTGCCCATGCGGTAGGTTACTACCTCCGGTTTGCAGATGAGAAAACTGAGGCTCAGTAAATGCTAATGCAGAGGTTGAACCAAGGTTTGATCTCTCAACCACCCCATCATTCTGCAACCCATGATTCACAAAAGATAATAAAAATGTTCCCAAACTCTGCTGCATGTTTAAAAAACAAACAAACAAACAAACAACCTTTTATCCAAACCAAATTTTAACTTAGAGGGCTAGTTTTCTGCAGCCATTAACCATGACTTGCGTGTACTGAGCCATGTTACTCATACAAAGTAAATGGCTTAAAATTGCTGTGCCTAATTACAACCTAAACAAGGTTATAAGCAGTGATGAGTAAAATTGTCTATTCTAGAAGCTGAAAATACCAGAACTAATTTCTTGTGGCATAATAAAATAAAATTTACTGAAGTCCTTTAACCACAAAACAAATTAGCCAGTAACCTTGCCCTCCTCCCACGAGATAATATTTATGAACACAGCTGTTCGGACTCAGCCAAAATCCTTTCAAATAATTCACGGTCAGGATTTTGTGGTTTGCTGTAATGTTCATTGTTACTCCAAAAGCTGAGCGGGAGGCCTCTTAAAATGGTACTGTACTTACAGACCTAGACCTTGGAGCCAGACTGCCTGGCTTGCCTGTGTACTAGCCACATGGTCTTGTACAATTATTGAACATTTCGGTGTCTCAGTTTCCTCACCTATAAAATGGGGCTTCTGGGAGTACCTTCCCCACGAGGTTGTTTTGGGCATGAAGTGATTAAATATGTCCAATTCCCTTAGAGTAATGCTTGGCCCATAATAAACACCATATACATATTAGCCAAATAAAGGATGTGACTACACATAGAGATTTTGGCTTTCTGGTCTACCCATGTGTGATTTACTACATGTCTTAACAAAACAAAATGAATACGCCCCACAAATATGAAACCATAACTCCCCATTCTTCCTCCTCCTTCATCCCCACCCCCTAGCAAACATCATTCTACTCTCTGTCTTTGACTACTTTCTGAATGTGACCACACTAGCTACCTCATATAAGTGGAATCACACAGTATTTGTCTTTTTGTGACTGGCTTATGTCACTTAGCATAATAATGTCTTGACGATTCAGCCATGTTGTAGCATATGCCAGAATTTTCTTCTTTTTAAGGGCGTCTGAGTGGCTCAGTCGGTTTGAGGGTCTGACTCTTGGTTTCGGCTCAGGTCATGATCTTGCGGTTCATGGGTTTGAGCCCCACACCGGGCTCTGTTGATGGTGCAGAGCCTGCTTGGGATTCTCTCTCTTTCTCCTTCTCTCCCCGCCCCTCCCCCACTCGTGCTCTCTCTCTTTTTTGCTCTGTTTCTCAAAATAAATAAACTTAAGAAAGAAAGAATTTCCTTCTTTTTAAAGCTGAATTATATATTTCATCTTAGGTAGATAGATCACGCTTTGTTTATTCATTCATTCATCAATGGACAGTTGGGTTGCTTCCTCATTTTGGCTATTGTAAATAATGCTGCTATGAACATAGGTGTACAAATAACCTATTTATGAGTTTCTGCTTTCAATTCTTTTGGGTGTTAACCTAGAAGTAGAATTGCTGAATCATATGGTAATTCTTAACTTTTTGAAGAAGAGCCACACTATTTTCCACAGCAGAAAACACTCCCACCAACAATGCATAGGGTTCCAATTTCTCCACATCCTTGCCAACACGTCGTTTTCTATTTTTTTCAATAATAGCCATCCTAATGGGTACGAAGTGATCAGGGATGCTGAGTATCTTTTTATGTGCTTATTAGACATTTGTATATCTTCTGTGGAGAAAGTCATTTAAGTTATTTGACTATTCATTGTCTTTGCGAACATTACACCATCATTGTTGACATCCATAAAAATTAAAATCTGAGAAACCCTTCTGTCTACTTCCCTCTTGCACTGTAACTGAGCATATGTTGCTTCTTATTTACATGGAGTCCCCGAATTAGTACAAAAATTTTTATTCCAAACTCAAGTGGGGCCAGTTTTTTTTTTTTTTTTTAAGCTTATTGATTTTGAGAGGACGGGGAGGAGCAGAGAGAAAGGAGACAGAGGGAATCCCAAGCAGTCTCCTTGCTGTCAGTGTAGAGCCTGATGCGGGTCTTGGGCCCACGAAATCATGAGATCATGACCTAAGACGAAATCAAGAGTTCCACACTTAACCAACTGAGCCACCCAAGCGCCCCAGATCATTTTTTTTCAAATATTTTTTAATTTATTTTGAGAGAGAGAGAGAGACAGAATCTGAAGCAGGCTCCAGGCTCCGAGCTGTGAGCACAGAGCCTGATGCGGCACTCCAACTCGCAAACTGTGAGATCATGACCTGAGCCGAAGTCGGATGCTTAACTGACAGAGCCACCCAGGCGCCCCTAGATGAGTTTTTTCAATAGAGGAAATGTGAAGACGTTACTAGGTGTTTGTGGTGGTGGTGAAGATCATGATGATGCAGATCACACATGGTAATGTGTGACAATTGAGCACTGATGAAGTGCTCTGTTCGGTGCTCTTTATGTATGAATTAATTCAACCCCCATTTGAGATATATACGATTATTATTCCCAATGTACAGACAAAGGAGCTGAGTCACAGAGGGTATAAAGTATCTAAGTATCTAGCACTAGGTCATTCAGCTAGTAAATGGCAACTTGGTATTTGAACCCAGCCTCCAAGGCCATATGGAAAGTACCCCCCCCCAACACACACCGAAAAGAAATCACTTTCCAGGAACTCAATGAGTTCCTGAAAGGCACATCTGATCTTCTTCCTAAACGAGCTGAGCCTAGGAGAAACATGGTCTACCCTGCAATGTGCCGCTCCCCACCCCCCTCCCCAGCCCTGGTGAGATGCCCCCAGCACAGCATGAGGGTGAGTACACGCTGTGAGGACAGAGACTAGGGTGAAACCAAGGCCCAAACTGTCATTGCACAACCGGTGCGGAGAAATCCAGAGGGTCAAGGCAGGAATGGGGAAGCCAAGGTGTGACGTTCAACCAGGCTGGGAAGCCAGAAGGGTCCTTGAGAGAGATGCCAACATGGCAGGAGCAGAAGGAGAGCCTGAAGCTGTCCAGAGGGCACTGGACGCTCCTGTGACTCCCCCACTGGGGCCTTTAAGCTGTCCATGCTGGGACCTCCTGCTGTTAGTTCCCAAACTGACCCGGGAAACAGAAGACCAGGAGAGGCCAGAGGAAGAGGGAGGCCACTCCAGACTGCTAGGTGGCACTTTTAATAGGCAAGGGAACTTACTTGTGAGGCTTGTCTTGGGCGGCTGCCAGATGACTGGCTCTCCGCACCCACGTGCCAAATCTTAAAAGTTTATAAAAAGGCCTTAATTGGGTTCAGCCACGCATACGGTCCAGACGGTACTCTCGCCACCTTGCTCTCTCCAGGCTCTGTCCTTGGAACAGCTCCCACCATGGGACAACCGTGTTCTAAACACTGGGTGTGAGGGGGCCTGAGGAGCCTCTGATTGCCCAGATCAACCAGCAGGCAGCTCCATTCTCTGGATGACCTTTTTGCAGCAAATGGGACAATTCAAAATGTGTTCCTTGGTCTGGGATTTTGTCCACTGTAAAAATGATACCAATCAACTAAATCACAACGCTATCCCATCAGTCATCTACACCTTAATATCACTAAGCCTTGGATCTTTCTAAGAGCAGATGTTGAACAGGAGAGTGCCAAGGGAGCCTAAGAGCTGGCTAATAGGATAAAGGAGGTCAGCTGAGAGCTGTAAAGGGAACTGAAAGATGAGGGGGTGG